CTCCTCCTCCTCTTCATGACTCCTTTCTCTTTTGCTCCATTTCTCCACAGCACAATGCCCCCTTATTTTTTTTTCCTCCCTCCTCCCTCACCTTCTCCTTAACACTTTGCTGCACCTCTGTTGAGGCTTCCCTCTGCTACCACTGAGCCATGCTGCTTCACAGTACTGCTAAGGCAAAAAAAGACATACTCAGTGATTCACTTCAAAGGAGACATCTCCCATCCTCCTCCTTTCCAAATCCCATACCCTTCCCACCTTTAAAGACCAGCTCCAAAATCCTCAGCTGTCAACCCTTTCAGCTGCCTTTAGTGACACTCCCTGAGTGATGCTAGGGAAGCTGAGAAGCTTATCTGGAGCGGAGGAGGAAGCATTATAGCAGCAAGAGGATGGGAGGGTATGTCTAAAAGCTAGGAGCGATGCAGTGCCAGCTGTCACGGGCCATGAGGTAGCTGGAGTAAGGCAGGTCACCCCTCTCAGTCGAGGCATAGCAGGACTCCCCCGTTCATTGCCAGTATTTGAAAGCCAAACACATGAGTTTACCCAGCTCTTACGTCTCTATTTCAGCACCCGTTCGGAGAGTACAGAGGTCCCTGAGAGAAGGGAAGACGAGGCAGTATTTGAGGGATGAGCAGAGAGAAGAAAAACCAAACTACGTATTTGTATCACTGTCACTTTCAAAGTCCAGGCAGTTTTTCCCCGTGTGCAAGCACATAATGCTAAGCAACTGCTGCCCAGGAAACCTTACAGACTAAAGATACAGGCTGGAGAGCCTGAGAAAAATGAGAGGTAGAGAGATGGAATTAGTCGCCTGGAGTCATATAACAAGCCGGTGGCAGACCTGTGATTAGAGAGCAACTTTGGAGACAACTTCAGTATTCTCCTCACTTGATCTTGACCTGCCTGTGTAGTTACTTCTTCTGGAGATTAATTGGACACACGCATAATACTGCAAAATAAACAAAAATAGCCCAAGGCTCTGAGCCGCTCGAAAGTAGGATGCTGCTCAGTTGTGGCCATCTACAGAGTAAAGCTGTTATCAGCCATTACAGCGTCCACTGCAGAGAAAGGTAATTCAAGCAGTGGAGAAAGTAGAAAAAGAGATGATTTATTATCAATACTATGACATACCAGACAGTGGCTGGCACCAAACATGCAGCCTTTCTACAAAAAAAAAAATCAAACCCCTGACCTGTCAATACATTTTTTTCTTCATTCAACCCAACAAGCTCCATATTGTTGTCACAGGTCTTCTTGCCCAGCTGATGTAAAGGTGACCAATTTCAGATTTGCTGCTGCTGTAGAGAGAAAACAGGAGAATGTGCACGTGTGCCTGTCCTGCAAAGGCTCTCCAGGCTTACAAAAATAGCACAGAGCTACTCAACAGAGGCAATGACACACGTCAACTCTTTGAGGGACCTGCTGCTACCTGTACTTAGTGATGCATCAGAGTTCAAGTGAACACTTCATTTACAGTTCAGTGGTGGCATTTTGTCATATCAGCTTAGTAGAAAGACTTGAAAGTATTCTCCATGCAATATACACTTTATTGACTCATTATAAATAAAACATGGAAAGGTATTCTTTAATTACTGTAAGTGTGGCTTGCTTACCCAGAGAGGCTTTTATTGTCAGATATTCAGCGTGTTTTATTAACACACTGCAATTGCTGTGCCTTACTGACTTCCTTAAAGGGTGATTTTTTTCTCTCCTTTCCAAAACTTGGATCATTGCACACTGCAACTGCTGTGCCTTATTGACTTCCTTAAAGGGTGATTTTTTCTCTCCTTTCCAAAACTTGGATCATTTTAAAACTACAGGAAGGAGATCAGCATGCAAATGTGTTGGCAGATTAAACAGTTATACATTTTTGTCAGAAGATGTTGCTGACATCTGTACTACAAATACCGATTGTCATTGGTATGCCTGTGCACAAGTAGCTCATCATCTCACCACCACCACCACTCCTTTCTGTGGCACTGGTAAACTACGCACTGCAGAAGCCATTAGCAAAAAACTGAGTAGACCCTGTTAGTTATGCAGTTGTAGCAAACACTTTCTACTTGTTTATGCTGTGGCAACAGAAATTAAGACGTTCTCAGGGTTTGCATTTAAGATTGATAAGATTATTGATAGCAACTTCAAACTTAGTTTCAGTTTTGAGCTCGAGTCCTCTAAACTATGGTTTTAATTTTAAAATATGGGATTATTTATCATGGACAAACTTTGAAGTATTACCTACCTGTGTTAAGTGCACACTGCATCTCAAAGCAGATACATGTTCACCTCCTTGATTGTAGGTCTCCTGCATTTTCCAGGATTCATATTAAAATAAAAATAGCAAGTTAAAGAGTGTTGACTGTACAAGAAATTAAAACCTAAAAATCCCTTGTTTTGCCTCCAATACCCTGAATAAGGGATAGGGCAGAAATATTTCAACATAAGCACTCACCAAACATTCCATTAAACCTTTGCATGAGCTTTTTTTGAAATAATGCTACTTACGAATTTATAAAGTCAAACACTCTTTTTAAAGGTTTGTAAAGAAAATTACCCTCAATAGCAACACCACCACCAAAAATTAAACCTCCAACCATTCTGTTTCAGCTCTACTATTACAGGGTGTGGTTGTTTTTCTTTAAACTGGAAAAAAGTGCAAAGTTTGACTAGTTGTATCTAAATTTGCAAAGAAATTAGTAAGAAAAAATAGGATTTTCAATTAGAGTTTTTGATAATTAAACTATTTCAAGAACCACACTACTTCAAATGTTAATAAGGCACTAAATTATACTTTGACCTAAATCTTAGGTTTAATGATTGTAGTTCTTGATATGTTTTAAATATCCACTTTTTCCCTCTCCATCCCTACCCTCAGTTTTCTACCTTCTACCAGCTAGCAAAGAGATCTTCAATGGCTACACAAACTCCTGTCCCTTTCTCTTCTGCTCTCTTTTGAAAGCCTATGTTAAGTTTCTTCCCCCAATCACATTTCCTTTGCACATGCCTGGGTGACTGCAAGTGAACCACATACATACCCCAAAAACCGAGAGCAGTCATCCAGCAGATGCAGCATACACAAGTTCTGCACAAAGGAGCAAACATTCACAGAAGGAGCAGCCATCGGTTCTTTCTTTTCCACAAGGAATTACCTAGAAAACAAGGTTGTTTTCTTTTTCCAGCAGTGCTCCCATCAGCAGGAGCAACTTTCTCAGAACTTGCAGAGTGCTGCAAAAAGAGGAGTAAAGCGATTCAGTGACACCAGGAGAAAGTTTCAAAGTAATGCTCTCCTTGTGTAGTAGCATTCTTCAAAAAACACCACAGAAATGAAAAATAAAAACAAAGACCTCAAGTGCATGTACCGAACAGCCATCTCTGCATTGCTGCCTCACGCCACAAAAGTAAACACTGACATCCATGGAGCATTTTCTTCCAATAATTTTTGCAAAACATGGAAAGACTCGTAAGAAGAAAAGATATCTTATGTTTGCATCAGTAGATTGATGTTAATGATTATTTCTTTGACTGAAGCTAAATAAAAGCATTCAAATGGTAAACAAGAAGGAAGGCTGCTACTAAACTGAATATCGTTGAGTAGTTTGAGGGTGAAGTGACTGAAATGTAGCTTGGCCTTTCTGATTTGGAAAAGCACTAGGCATGTGTCTGCAGATGGTGGAAGTGGCATAGTATTGTTCCTGAAACAGAAGGTTTTCTTGGTTACAACCACACGTGCTTGCTCCTGCCTGAAGCAGATACTCTTCACGAGCACAGGAGTTGTGATAGTTTTTACTTCAAGACTAAACCTGGCAAAAACTGAATACTGAACCACAGGAAACAATATTTGGAACCCCTCTGCCATTACAGCTTCGTGTTTTCCACCTGATTATATTTTGAAGCTGTTGCAAACTTGTTTCGTGCTTTACCAGAAATTATCAGACTTGGATTTACCAAGGATAAAAATCAAAGTAGTTATCAGGGAGGAGGGAGGTGATAAGACTGGCACACAGCTATCTGTGATGCCACCTTGGCCAGCTACGACTGTGCAGTGTCTGGCAGGACCAAAGCAGGTGGGTACAAGTCCATCCAACTCCACCTTCATGGGAAGCCTGAACTTCTAAATACTCCTAGTTCATTACACAGCACAGCAATCAGCCCTTGAAAACTAATTCTTGTTAGAATTAGTGTCAGTTAACACCATGCCAGGAAAAGAAAGGGATAGCTACCATCCAGGGTTAATTCGCCTCACTCCTTTTGTGATACGGTAGAGCCTGTCTGCAGCATAGTGAGACATCCAGGCCAAGGACATTACATTTTATGGCAGCCTCTTCAGTGTTTAAAAAACTATTATGGGAATTGACTGCTGTGCTTTTGTTTTACCTTTTTTTCTTCCTTTCTTTTGCAGGAACTGAAGAGGAAGATGAAGGCGATGACCTGTTGTTGAGGTCGGTAGATGAGTTTTGGTGGTTTCCCCATATGTGGAGTCACATGCAGCCGCACCTCTTCCACAATGAGTCGTCACTGGTGGAGCAGATGATCCTCAACAAAGAATTTGCCTTAGTGAGTAAAAGTTACCAAAAGGTTCACTAGGATACCTTTGTGTGTTATGGCTAAGCTTTCCAAGCTGGTTTTATGTTTATCTATATTATATATGTATGTTTACATAGATATGCAAATAAGGCAGCAAGATTGGAAACTAAGCCCCCAAAAAACCCTTTCTGTAAGTCAAACTTGGGCTGAATTTTGTCTCAGCCTTTTTCACAGACATGGGCTTTCTGGAGAGGTAGCAGTCCTTCACCCAAGCAACCTTGAGAGACCATGGGGATCAGTAACAGTGGAATCTCAGCAGCTATCAGCTGACCTTTGAAGCCTTAGACAGTTTATACACAGTTAATCAGCTTCCTGATGTCTGGTGCAAGCATCCTCAGTAAGGGAGAGAGGAAGTTACAGTGAACCCTAAAAGTTGTGTATGGTTTGTGAGAAATCTTTAAGCTAATGAAGCAAAGAAGTGAAGCTGCTGGATTTCACTGTTCTTTTTTTAGATGACCTGCTTGAAAAATATGCTTTTTACATAGCTAACCTGTTGCTAATTTTTATAGATAATGATGTTTCATTTTTGTTCATTTGCATTGTTAAGTTAGAAGAGCATTGCCCAGAGCTAAGAGTACTTGTACTTCAAGGTCAGGTGGAAACCATTTAGAGTTCTTTCAGGGTAATGCTACTTGCTTATTGAGCAGGACAAAGAAAACCTGAAATCTATAAGTGCTCGCTTTGGAAAGGCACTGTGTGGTCTTTGACAAGGCATAGCACTGCCAAGCAACCAGAGCCACTCAAAAGAGCAGAGTGACACCGTGGGGCTTTCTCTGCTGCTCAGGGAACACAAGTCTCAGCCCTTCGCAGCTCAGAAAGGCCAGCCAGCAGCTGCCTCTTCCTCCCGTCCCTCACATGAGCCAAAGAACATCAGGCCTTGCAGAGGCAGATGCCTGAACAAGCAGTTGGAAGCAAATTATTCCCTTGTTTATGAAAATATTTTCCAAACAACCTTTAAAGAAAAATCATTAAAAATGGCTTAACTGTTTCCTTGTCTTGCCAGACTTGCCCCCCGTGCCATCTCCCTCTTGGCAGGGTGTTAGTACAGAGGCATTTTGGATGACTTCTTTTCCTTCTACAGTTCTGCTTCACTGTCAGCCTTCACTCTTGGCATGATCTGTTCATGCCTCTTGCGTAGCCTGGCCCAGAGACCCACATACAGTTGAGAAGTTAAATGCAAGAGTAATTTTTTTAAATTAGCTGTAACTCAAAAATACATGGTCCATTCATCTTGAAACCTATGGGGAAATTCTCCTAGTATTTTCAGGAAATATCAAGTCCTCTAGGTCAAACCACCTTTAGGAGTAAAATCTATAACATAGCCTGAAAACAGGGCTTGTAATAGAATCTGTTCGCAACTTAAACGACAGAAAGATAAAACCCATGTCCCTATCACCACCGAAGGGTAGAGACTCCTTAGGGTGCCTATAAATAAGGAGCTGGTGTCAGTGAAAGGCTGCTGTTATTAGTTTTATTTCCTGCTAACATTTGGACAGGGGTTGTACCAACCTCTTCACCTTGAATCTATATGAGCTGTACAATTTCCTTATGAGAACATTTCTTTTCAAAAGGCTTCCTGTGAAATCCTCTCTGCGGGAGAAATTCGTCTTCCTGATATGACAACCTTCCTGATAGCTATCAGAGAGGTCCCAGCCACAACTTCAGAGTAGTTTACTATCCTCCCCTGCTTTCTCATCCTCAGCAACACATCCTAAATGGGAAAGGAACTCCCTGATCTACACGGGCACTTCTCTAAGTCCCCCAAAGTTAAAGCAAACCTCTTTTCATTATTCTTTGACTTCACAGCGCAGATCCAAATTTAAATTAGGTATCTGGAACAATACATGGAAAAATCTGCTTCAAGTTATATATGTTTCATTTGTGCTCTAATACCTGTACTTAGTATTATACCCCAGGGAACACAGCTTAATGCTGATGCCACTTTCTCGTGCATTTCTCATTTAGTGACCATATCTCCCCAGTGCCTGTTTTAGCTGCAGGTAGAGACAACATTTTGTGTCACTTTCTGCAAAGAAAGCCACAATAATTATTTGGAAGTATGATAACATTCCATCTTCACCTAATGTGGTATTTCTTTGTTAATTTTTTTTTTTTACAAAACATGGGTAAGAAGGTAATAGGGTCTTCAGGATAGGAGAGCACATCATTATACCTGAGAAAAACAGTCAAGATGGCTTTAAGATCCCAAAAACCACACCAAAAATTCTGTCAATTAAGACCTGTTGGGTCCTCTGGACTTTATCGTTTTGAAAGAAAGCTAAAACAGATCACACTGTCCGGAAAGTTGCACCCAAATCCCACCACAGTCAGCAGTCTCTCCATGCAAGAGAGTATCAGCCTTGAGATCGATGCTGTTCGTGGGGGGAAAAGGTTTCATGAAAGGATTGTCTTTCTCTTGAATATTGTGGATTGAAGTCAAGCTTAATAAACACAAGCCAGCACATCTGAAACAGTATTTCATGGACATGATCATGTGGAGCTATAAACGTACACAAGCACAATTTTTATTTGCTCTTGTATTTACACTGTACGCATAACCTTTGCTTTGCAGGAGCTCTAGTGACATACAGTCTGCTGAACACAGGCAAGAAACACAGGTGTTACAGCTGGCAACTAGATCAAAGACCTCCTTCTGCTTTACATGGATATATCCCTGCCTTATCATAACACTCTATAAAATGGGGCTCACAATCACAGCCTGCCTCAAACAGCTGTATCACAAAACACAAGTAGAAATCAGATTTCTACAGTTTTGTATACTAGCGGCTAATTAGGTGTCTGATTGCCTTGATTTCTGTGCAGATATGGATACTTCTGTGTATCTGGGGCTTAGTAAAATCATCAGTCTCCAAAGGATTCCCTGACACGTGAATTGCTTGTGAACCAGGAGACTACCTTTAACAAGAGCCCTCCAAATTATTACATGTCATATGTCACTGAGATATTCATCACTTCTGTTTCATGCCTAGTTGGTGAGAGGAGGAGGTGCTCTCACATCTTTCATACATGTTATCACCCCACTGCTGGATCCGGCAGGCAGCGTGGGAACTTTTGCCTGACAAAATCCTTGTCCACACGTGCCTGCGTGATGGACCCCACAGCTGCCCCCGTCCATAGCCCCATTCTCACAGCCAAACCTCTTCTCAAGCGCTCACGATATCCTCAGTGTCACTGGAACAAGAGCCACAGATGTTAATTGTGGTAAAGTAAGTTGCAGACAAGGCGGAACTCTGCTATCCCAAAGTCATCTTATTTAAGTAAATATGGATAGTGTGCTTCAGAGCCTGGCTAAGGAAATGGCAAACGACATTTTCATTATCAGTTGTGTTTGACTTGATCATGTTTTCTGGGTTTTTCTATCAGAGGATCCCACAATCCTTTAAAAACACTAATGGATTAAGCCTTGGATTAAATTTCGCAAACTGATAGCATCTCAAGTATTATTTTCCTTGTTTATAGGCAGTGCAACTGATACACAAAGAGGGAAACAAATTGCGCAAGAAGGAGTGTCTGATAGTACATACTCCAAAAATAAAACAAACCAAGTTTTCACTGCCATCCTTTAATCTCAAGATATCCTTCCTCCTCCCTTTTATACATCCTTATCTGACAAAACCAAGTAGAATATATTTAATCCAAAACCTGTAGCTCTTGATTTTGTCCCTTGATTTGTTTGCTCAGTGATTATCTTCTGTGCTCATTTGTGATTACATGTGCCCAAAGCACAGTAGAGACAGGGCAAAAACTATCATGGGCTGTAAAAAAAGTAGCTGTGATCTGATACGAAGAAGTGAGAGAGACACATATACAAACCAAACAAATCGATTCAGAGATGCACACAGACAAACCAAACAATTCAGAGCCTGCTTAGTAACACTCCTTGGCTTCCATCTCCTGACTATAAGCCAACTACAGATACACATTAGCCCTTCCTCTGCCTGAAACTTTGGAGCTGCCCAAACCACAAAGAAACCGTGAGCTTTTAATATACCAATTAAATACCAATGATACGAAGACCAGTGACCACGTATCAAAGGCAAAGTATCTACATGCGATGAAAAGAGAGTCTGATTTGTCCCATTATTAATATCTGTAGTTAATGTTAGGAAGGAGAGATGCCCACTAGAGATAGCCTCTAAAAAACTCTTGTCAATGGTCTGCATGTATAGGATAACATTATGCTGTGCAGACAGGATGAGATTTGTTCTACTGCCTAACCTTAAGGTCCTTCTGAAATAGTCCACCTTCGTTAGTGCTTCTGCCCGTATCGGGAGCATGCTTTGACAGCACATCTCTAGGACTGCCTCTACTTTCTCTGCTTCATTTAGTACCGCATGCATGCAGAGTTGCTGCATTTTCTAGCCACATATGGCTTCCTCAGGGCTGGCCTTTGTTCATTTCACATCCTCAGCAACCTAAGATCTTAAATCCCAACACTTTCCCTGCCTCTTGATAGTCTGCTGTGGTGCGAGGCATGCCTAAGCCACAAGTTGGCATGATATCTAGGAGACTCCTTCGTAAGACTGGTGAAAAGCTGGCTTTTCCCATCACCCTGTCAATCTGGGATCTGACGTCAACACCAGAAAAATAATTTCATTAAGACCCCGTGTACTCTCTGCTTGGTGCATTGTACAGCCACGGGGCAAGGCAGCACACCATGGAAATGAAAAAACAGCCATGAAAGCAAATACCAACACGCAGAGCCTCTCTAGCTCAATAATAATCATCATCTTGTTTGCTCAACATGCTTGTCTAGCTAGAGAGCCTTTAAGCAGATTTTTCAAGTTTAGAATTGAACTAAAAGTAATTGAAAGCTGAAATAGTTACTCAATTATCCAGAAACATAAACCGTGAGAACAAAAACCAAGTGTCCATAAAGGATAAGATACAACACAACATTTGTGAGGGCTGACAAGCAATTAAGTAACCAATACATTTACTAAATAAGAGAAACTGATTAAGTATTTTCAACTGACATAGTAACATATAGTCTCTGATGAGAAATCTCACTCATGCAGCAATTTTCAAAATACAGCTCAGTACTAAAATTAGGCAAAGCTTATGTAAACCTTAACTTTGGAAGGTAACATCATAAAAAGTACTAGATCTACTATCACCTACTGTTGGGCAAAGTCAAAAAGTTTAGCAAACATAACTGAGGTTGCATTGTTAATTTATTCATCTAAAAAAAACTTTACACCGAAGTTGAGCTGACTGAAAAGATCTACAGTAGACAAAAGATATTATAAATTAAAAGTTCGCTTTTTTATTCTTTCTCTGACAATGGCCAACATTAGATGTTTCTGTACAACAAAGATCTTTAAGAACCAGAACGCCAGTTGTACTATAACAGTTTCCATTTTTGTTTCATTTCATTTTTTACTGCATTTTAACAAGGACATGTAATATTTGGTGCAATCAAAAACTGGGGGTTTTCTGTCAGACTAGATCTTGCTAATATAAGTAGTCAATCTTCCAGATGCTGTTTTTTATTCAAATTTCCAACATCTGCTCACAGAAAGCATGCTATAGGAATACAAACTTCCATGTTGAGAATATACCTACTTCTGGGGAGCAGTCTCATTCTGCATTACCTACCCTTTCTTTAGCAAAGGGTTGGGGTTTTTTTGGCAAATGCAGCATAAGCACGCACAGCACACACTGAGTCATGGCAAACACAGCTCATTTCTGTACAAATAAGAAGGTCAAAAGAGGTTAGGAGTTGCAAGCAAATCTTCACTTGCTTGAACAAAACCAATAATTGAGACAGATAAGCAGCCCTGGCAGATTGCTTCAGCCTTTCAGATCACCCCTAAAGGTACCTGTCCCACGCACGGGCTCTGGGCAAGGAAACTTTGGCGGGTGTGCAGACGAGCCAGGCTGCATCAGCAGGTCTCAGTTCCCAATTCCTGTTGCTCTGGCTTGGGTGCATCAGCACAAGCCAGTGACTCCCAGGGCTCTGAAGCCACGTGAAGCAGCTGCTGCTGGCCAGATGTGCTGGCCACAACGCAAGCATCAGGGGGAGGGTTATTTTGAGCTGGTAGTAGTCTGATAGGCATACCACGTGCTCACTGGTGCCTCGAGGACGAAAAATTCAACATCTGTTTTAATCATCATGCCCCTATGTCACAGGTTATAACAGTATTCTCCTTTAATACTCAATTCATCCACTGCTGCAGGTTCAGCTTACATTGTCATTTAAATTGGAATTCAAAGTCTCTTAACACACAAGTAAACCAGAAATACTTATTTAACCTGTCCAAAATTAATGGCTCTGGGGTCCCAGCTTAAGCATGCAAAGGAAAGTAATGCTGCTCTTCTCAAAGCCAAAAAGGGCCAGAAGTTTTCCAAACTAGACAAACACACCCACAAACGTTTCAAAGAAATTTTGGAAAAAAAACAAAACAATGGAAGTCCTGAATGTAAAAATAACCTCAAAAATAATCTTTTAGGAAATTGTTCCTTGGAATATACAAGAAAATATAGTCACTACAGGCCTCTCTCATTTTGTCCAATAGCTTAGATTTCAAATGTGTACTCCTCCTTTAACACATTAGTTCCAAATTCCAAACTAAATTTAATAACAAAATGAGAAAGAAAACAAGAAACAAAACAACAAAAATTACTAAAAGAGGGCATACAATATTTAGTTTACCCAAGAAAACCACACTGGGAACTGACCAAAGAAAATCTGATGGTCTGTTAGTTGTTTCTGCTTCAAGTCATCTCCGGTATCTGAGTGACTGACATGTATTTGTGTGATGAACTATGTAGTGTGCAGGTTTTATTCAGAGGTTAATTAGCTTTTTATATTGAGAACTTATGAAAAGCTGCCTTATTTTGAGTGGCAGATTACCATTTCACCATTGTGTTGCTATGGCAATACCAGCAGCAAATATTACGTAGATAAACAGGATTTTGCATGTATTCGTCCAGATACCTACTGTTGGACATGTCATTCACAGCAGTGTTCCGTATCTAGCTCAGGACATACTTGCCCTACATTTACATGTCTGTATACTCCCTGAACACATTTGGTAAAGGTTTGTAAATTCAAGTTAATGCAGCATATTTAACACGGTATATTTGACAGCATGAGCATCATAGACTACTCAGGCAGAGTAATAAATGGCCAGATATTTCAGAAACCTTGAGATACAGCTTTTTCTTTTATACATGTTCACAGGAAAAAAATACAGTGATTTAACACTTCTCATTATAGAGCTATTCCTCATTTCACCCTTAAACTGACTCATGCCTTTAAGGTAGGTAACAACATTAATAAGCAGAAATTACATTTTGCTCTCAGTAAGTTACAAAATTGTGAGTTTAGGTTTCTTTTTTCAAGATCAGTCAGTAACCCAAGATCTTCACTAATAAGGAATAGCTAATTTTAAGTGGTTGTGTTACATTATGTATGAACAAGTGTTCCCCACAGATTAACTTAAATTTTGTCAAGGAACCAAAAGCCTTTCTTTGCAAAGTACTTGCAGATGCCCAGCAAAACCTGCTGTTCCTGGAATTAAAGTAATCAACAGTTCTTAGATAATGTGGGCAAGAGGAAGGACAAAAAAAAAAATCATCTCACATTTTAGCCATTTCCCTCTGAACATCAATTTTATGGGAACAGGAAACAGCTGATGTATGCTGTAGTACCAAGAGTAAAATGAATTCAGTAAACACCCAGAGCACACGAAGGGATCTGGCGAGAGCCACAGCAGTAGGATACCCTGCAACCTGGAAATGCCATGGGAGAGTTGAAAAGGGCTTTTACTGGACCTGCTGGAAATGAGCCTCAGCAGGAGAAGAGGCATAGCGCAGCCTTTCTTTCTGCCAGTAGCTGATAAATGCTGGATGCGTTTACCAATAGTCACTCAGGCCAATGAAACTAATTACCTCATTTTCACATGTATAGCTTACACTCCAGGTCATTTGCTCTCTTTTAAATATATCCTGGTCTATAGATGTGGTTATCAGGCCTCGACATCCGATAGGGTTTTCAGACAGCCCACACTAAGTTGGGAATCGGAGGAATGGGGAGAAGAACAAAGGCAGGAGAGCGTCAGGAGCAAACATGCCCAGCACACTCACAGTTAAGCTTCTTCCTTAATTCCTTCTGCCTGCACATTAACTACCGCATTGTGCCATTGGAAGGTATTTTCAGGATAACCTATAGATTATGTTGACGAAAATGCACATATATCCTCATAGAAATAGAGCTAAATAAATATTCATGAAATGAAAGAGAAGTCCATTGAAGTCCAGCTTTTTTTTACTGCTACCTTAGTACCACAGAAAAAATAAAAGCCAATTCAGAAGCTAAGGGGGATATTTATTTATTACTTCAGGAAGGAATCTTGCTCTTATTCTGGAAATAGGAAACCAAAAATCCCACGTTTGTCACTGTAACAATTTTTTCCATCTGTTTACCTCTCTAATGCTGTGCGATAGCTTAGTAAATAAGCGGCATCAGCTCACCAGATTACCTTTGAAAAGAACCAAACAGGTAGGATGCATATTAATATGTAATGAACAGACAGGCAAATCTATTCCGTACAACAGTAACACAACATAATCCAAGAGGATTTTTTTACCACTGCAGTTATCAAACTAAAACACCAGATCCCCTCATCTCCCTCCCATTTTTAGCTTGTGCTACATACAAATAGATACAAGTCTGTCCAAGGACAACAGCTTCTCTGATGCTGCTGTCTGCAGGAAAAATAAGCTTTGAATAATTATGTGGGTTTTTTCTGTTCCTAAATATATTCCTCCCTCTGGTCTGTTGCAGGAGCATGGCATACCAACTGGCATGGGGTACGCAGTGGCTCCGCACCACTCCGGGGTCTACCCGGTTCACATCCAGCTGTACGAGGCCTGGAAGAAGGTCTGGCACATCCGAGTGACCAGCACAGAAGAATACCCACACCTGAAGCCTGCACGGTACAGACGGGGCTTCATCCACAATGGCATCATGGTACACTGCATTTCCATGCTTCATAGCAATAGTACTTTAAGTGACTCCAAAGTTTGCTATTTTTACCAAATGCTTCAAGTTTTACAGCAATCATTAAAATTCTCTGTGATCGAGGATTTGTAAGGATGCCAAAATAGTGCATTTGTTACGCAGTCTTTTTTTTTTATTTAAAAAAGGCACACAAACTCAGGCCACTGCAAATGTAATCCTCAGAAACTAAGTGTACTTGTAGTCCCATCAACTATCAAACGAGTTATAAATGCATACTTTGAAATTCAAACTGCCCAAGACCTATGTTTAAAGCTCTGGTTCATCTTTATGCATGAAAGGATTAGAAATCCACCACCTCGAAAGGCGAGCAGGTGTTAAGTCATCTCCTCCAGCAAATATGACACTTCTCCAAGGCCGAGGTTTCCTTCCCAGCTTGGCTTCTGAAACTCCCAGAGCCAAGGACCAGACATGAGTCTGACTCTTCCAGACCACATGTGTGCGAGGAGAGAGAAGGTTCCTCGTACACACGCTACAGCTACACGAAGAGCAGAAACGTGTCTATCATGATTTGACCTGTCTTACCAGCCAGCTGCAACCTTACAGACACGTGAAAAAAAAATTGGATATGCATAAGTGAAGTTCGAAATATTTCAAAGGCAGATCCAGGGATGCTTTAAGGTCCCAGCTGACTTGAATACTGCCTATGCCCATAAAGTCAAAATTATGATACCCTAAATGAGACAAAAGCAATGTTTTAACCAAAACGAAGAAGTTAGTGCACAGAATCCAATTACTACTGAAATAGACTCAAATTCAGCAGTGCATTTACACACATGTCAAAACACTCCACTGAATGTAGCTTTTATCTGTTGTTTTAACTGAGTAGAGAAACAAAAACACTGACTGAAGGGAAACAAAAGGCCTTTCCCAGGCAAATGATATCTCTGCATGGATTAGGCAATACCCATTAGGCCTGACAGGCATTGTCTTTACAGTACCTAGCTAATAACGGAGCTGAACCAGGTAGTTCTCCAAGATGAGTTTGTTTTCCCACGCCTGCTAGCTGCTTGTTTCTGACACGCAGCCTCTTGATTTACAATGGGACAGGGAGCTGACCTCGGGCTGGTCTCTTGTGAGCATCCCACCAGTCCCGTACACATTTCACAAACAGGAATGAGGGGCTCAGTATGATTTTCAGGACTGAGGAAAGTAAGAAGCACCACGTCTTTTGCAGTCCGCAGGCTTGAATACAAATTCAGTTCCATGCTTCAAGAACAGTAAGATTAATGGCCTGAGATAGCGAAGATGGGCAGGAAGCACTATTTAGCTGCTAATAAGCTAACCTTGCTAAGGGGAGAGAAGTTTGGCTTTTTGTTTTCCTCCTCTTCCAAATGCCAGGAAACAAACACTTATTCTAAGTGTACGAGCTGAATAAAGCAGTCTGCATGAAAGCTCAGCGCATGTGTCGCAGCTTTTCAGAGCTGGCAGCTGGAAATCTCCCCAGCTGCAGGACCGTGCTTGCTTACCACGGGAGTACAGAAGGTACAAAGGAGCCCATAAATAAACGTGCCAGAGCACGGAGGCAGAAAGGGCTGCAGTTTTGTTTCTCGGAGCTGGGAAACAAAGGCTGGAGGGATTCGGGTGGCTGTGCGAGGCTAAGTTTGCAGAAGGAAGTTAATGCCACAACAGCGCTCTTCTTTTGTTCTCAGGTGCTCCCTCGACAGACCTGTGGCCTTTTCACTCATACTATTTTTTACAAGGAATATCCTGGGGGTCCTCAGGAGCTGGACAAAAGTATCCGAGGAGGTGAACTCTTCCTCACCATTCTCCTGAATCCCGTAGGTACCTTCTTTTGCTGTTTTCTGGACATTCTAACTAATGGGAAGAAGGAGGGAGGGAGGGAGGAAAGGAGGAGATAAGTTTTCTTTGCTCTTGTTTGGGAAATAAAAACCAAGACCACTTGCTCAGAGGTAATAAGGAGTTTAAGAGGAAAGGAGCAAAATGCCTTCTGCTAATTTTCTAACTGCAACTGTATGCAACAAGTTACTGGAAAATGCATTGATTTCAGCTCCTACTGTTTCCCAACCTGACACCAGGTTCCCATGAGAGACAAGTGCACTGACTTGTCTAACTGACACTGAAAGAAAACAGTGAGGGTAGAGAATAAATTGTTATCTTATGCCACTTTTCCTTTTTTCTGTAAGCTTGGCTCCTCAGGCACTCTTGATATAGCTCAATGGAAACTCCAGGGTGATATGGGCAATATCATTCCCCCACCACTGGTTCTTAAAACTATGTTATGTGCAGCTAAGAAGTACCTCGAGCAGTACAAAGCCTTCTAATGAACATTTTTGCTTTGCTCACATTTTTTGCTGTGTTTCTTTTTCTGTCAACATTACATGAACCAGAAACTATAGATGTGTACGTACATGTGCACAAACACACTACAGATGTATCAACACACATATATATGGTTTAACTCAAAGTGCCTCACACTTTCAGGATGATTTGCAGAGCTATCACACAATTTTGTCTCAAACAATAAAGCGGTCCGAACCGCGCTGTGCTAACATACACATGCACACACTTAACGACAACACTCTGTGGGTGCACAGGTGGGATTGGGCTTACCAAGGATAAAGGAGGAAAGCCACCTGACTGCAAATTCCATATTTTGAAGTCACAGTTCTCCTGCCTGTGAACAAGAGCCTGGCGCCATTTGAGACAGCAGCCTAGAGGTGGAAGGAGGGAGAACAAGAACAAAAAGAAAAAAATCATATATCAATTATTTTTTTGCCATTGTCCTCCCTTCTTCCTGTTCCACCCAAACAAGCTATATTACTCACAAGATAAATGTCTTGTCTTGCCAGATGGCCCAATTTTCAGTGGTTTTAAATTGCAGTCCTCATTGACTTCTCTGCAGTGTTAAAGAAACTCCAGGTGGGGCTAACTCTCAAATCCAGGTCACTTATTTAGAGACCTAAATATAGATTTTGGTATTATATAATTAGTGAAAATTTCGGCTGGGGAGCTAAGTTGGCATCTGAGACAAAGATTCTGGGGGCTTAAAGAAATGGGACATTTCTACGAGGAATTTTTCTGTACCATACGTATGACACCTAATTGGAGAATAAAAAAATATGCCTGTTCTTTATCCTGTCTCTCCATGACCTGCAGCTCTCTCAGGCTGCCTTTTCTTCTGTTTCCTTAAGTGTAACTTGGCTTACCACTCTCTTGGGATGCTGCTGGAATTGATCCTTAACTTTATCATACTTTGATCAATACCTGTGCAGATTTTGCCTATCTGAAGACTTCCTCAAATTTAGGCAGTATAGCGGTCTGTAGCAGAGTATGTTCTTACTCCTCAAGAGATGCTTAGAATAGCCCAATTGCTCAGTGAATCGCCACGTCCAAGCCTGTAAGCACACTCTGGCCACCCTGACTTCCTCTCTTAAAACTTGCCTTTTCCCCAATTTCAGGTTTTTCTTTCTTACTGACAGCAAATGAGCAAGAAGGCACAGGCTCACAGTTGCTTCCTAGAAATTTCAGCCTCTGGATCCTTTAAACAATGGTGTCCAAAGGGTCTTTCCAAAGACAGGCTGAGGCTGTGGGGAAAGCTGGCTCTTCAATTAGTCTAAAAATTATTTTAAAGGCTATTATTGAACCCAATGAAGTCAGATCGGCCTATGCCACCATTTGTTATGCTGTCCATAATCCATTAGCCTAGAATCTCCAGGCACCTCCTGAGCAGCATCAGCCTCAGAGGTGCTGGAACATCTTCCTTCTAGGAGGTCTAACACACCCAGCTGCTTGTGCCAGCTCCACAGAAGGTTTTCCCAGCTGGGTCCAATTGCTTCTCCCAGGAAAGGGCCAAATCCCTCCCTAGATGGGTCCTGCAGCAAACAGGTGCTCTTGGTGCCCCGCTGAACATGACACAAAGAATACTTGAGAGAAGCAGTTCTACCATCTGCCCTGTAGCTTTCAGGAGTTATGCAATATAGATAGGACCTTTCCTAGGAAGGCAATATGCCACAGCAGGCAAAGCATTCCAGGTTTAATCACGCATCTGTGATGTTTTTGACAGTTAGAAGACTGTCTTCCAAAGAAAAGGTGGAGGGGGCAAGATTTTCTTTTTTCTTCAGTACATGGAGTCATTGTTTTGACCAAGCTATGTTCCAATAACTTGAGAGTGCAATGTATATTATAGGGTAGTATTTGAAAAGAACAGCTTTTCTATACTATTAATGTTTGCTTCTCCCCTCCCAGTTCCATGATTTTCCATCTCTGCCTCATCAACACTGATATTTTACTGAGCTAAGCGACACAAGTGAAATACTGACATGTACTTCTCTAACTCTGAGTTAAGTATGAATCTGTTCCAATATAAGTGCTTATTCAGACAGGAAGAAATATAATTTAATCATGTGTGAGCTCTCAAAACCCCACCATCATTCAAGTCAGGTGGGTACACTGCCCTATGAAATATGCACCTACTGACAACAGCAAAAGCAAAATCTAGCCTTATCTCAGAAGGAAGCTGGTGTGAGTAGGAAACAAAATCTATGTTTAGAAATTCTTTTTCTTTTTTTTTTTTTTTTTTTTTTACACATCGAGCTTGGACAGCACACACACTAACCAATGGGAAGACCTTTCTTTTATTCAGCATACGAGAAGATGTAGTGTTTTGGTGGTTAATTTGCAAAAGTTTGCAGATTAATATCTAAAATCTATGGTATCTTCTGAAAAGCATCACCAAGTTCAACCTCTAACAACATTTCCTTATGCAGCTAGTTATCTGCCCTGTGCTGCACCGTGTCATTCACTAACCCCACCTGGTTTGCAAAGCACAGGGGTAACAACAAAAAAAAAAAACCCTAAAACCACAAAAAATGACTACCTGATTTTGCAGAGCCGTTTCTACAACTATAGCAGACGATCATTTTGTTATTTTATCAGGTGCCGTTTTGATTATCAGGTAGGCTAGAAGTTAGAAGGTTTCTGAGCAAGTTCATGGTCCTTGCCTGTCTGTCTCATTTCTGTGGGTTTCTTCATTCCCTTTGCCAGTTTTTACATTACGTTTCTGTACGGGAACCTAGCAATAATTGGGCAACAATTCCAAGTTACATGTGATATATAACAAGATTTTGGCTTGAGATGCTTGAAAATATAGATGCTTTTCCTATAAAAACAAATCAACTCAAATAATTGTAAGCATAGTTTTTGAATCAAAAATCAAGTGAGCTGTGCAGTTCAATGACATCTTCCCAAAGCAGCTCTGGTAAGAGCTGGTCTCCCACACACGGCACAAGTGTCTATGCACTCCTGGCTTCTCTTCTGGAGGCAGCTACCTAGTTTTCTCCAAATCAAAACCCTGGTCCTGGGTTTTGAGGATGGTTTACTTTAGGGACTGTTCCAAAAAGCCAGTCCAGACAAGGACTTTGGCTCTCTGCAGACCTCCAACACCATTCCTAGCAGGCTTTCAATCCTCACATCTTTCCACTCTTTTGCTCTATGTCCTTGAGCATGCAACACATTTTACCTGTGTCATGCATAATAACATCCCTCTAAAGCAACAACATAGTTACCGCACTATTGCAGACACACATACAAAATAATTGTTCTATTTTTGAGCCACATGTGCAGAAACACTACATGGAGGGCGCAACGTAGGCATGAGCTTACTCCATGAGTGGACACAGAGGAGCAGCACGCTCCACATCTCATACCCCCACCTACACAAAAAGCATTGTAGCTGTAATGCATCCCCTACCACTGCATGGAAATCACCGAAGCTGTTGGAGCACTAAACCCAAAACAACTTCTCTCACTTTCAGTTTGTCTTGTGAAGAGACACGTAGGCACATCTATTGATTATTAAGAAATAGACTAACAACAGTAGCTAGAGAAAGTGCAAAGAGGTGCTGCACAGTTGGATCCCTCATTCCCTTCAACATTCAGCATCGGCTTCGCTGCTCGATTCACCAGCTTCCTTGCTTCATCTTACTAGTCTAACAGTTGTCCCTTTACACCAACCAGTACCATACATGTTCACTATTTAGGGAGCACAGCTGAGAAAAGTTCACTTCTTGTCCACAGCTATTTTGAGGCAAGGCTTCCAGAAGTGAAAAGCCATACTTTAGTCTCTGATAAATAGAATTATTACAGGTTTCACCCCCTACACACACAATTCAAGTTTCAAATTTTAGAAATAATCACAGTGCCTTGATTAAAATCAGCACACCACCACCTTTTGCTGTGGATTACAGCCATTTAGCTGTCTAAAAACAAACTAAAAGCTATTTCTGGACTCTTAGCTGAAGATGTTAGGGGTAAAGAAACAAACCTGAAAGTCTGTGAATAAGCAGTGACAAACTGTTCTGAAGAGACGCAGACACACACTAAGTGGATGAATAAACTTCAGCATGAATAGCAGCCAAGCACAACAGAACCCGAGTCAGCATCAACATGCACTTTCAGGAGGTCTACTGCCTGCTCCTCAACCACCGACCTACTGCTCCCTCCACACTGGCATCGCTACATTGAACAGGCCAATCACATCTAACTGAAGCAGCCCCCAGCAGAGTTCAAACACAAGTAATAATAGATCATGGTTCCTCTCATTGTATGGACATCGCATCTGCTCTACAACCCTGCTTTGTTCAGGACAACGCCTCGCCTGGATGATATAGACCAGGGTTTCCAGGCACAAAGCAGGGACTTGATTTGTAGTTGTGTTTTTACCAGGATTTCTGCAGTGAAGATGGATTGTAAATGATAGCACAGAGGAGCTGATGTTTCCTTAGGCTGTTATGACACCGATTTATCATCTTTTATCCCA